GTCCGAGGCCCCGAATAGCCCTGAACCCGAAACACCTGTGAATGTTTAGGGTTTAGGGTTTAGGGTTTAGGGTTCAGGGTTTAGGGTTTAGGGTTTAGGGTTTAGGGTTTAGGGTTTAGGGTTTAGGGTTTAGGGTTTAGGGTTTATATGCGCCCTTCATATGGTTCCTGGCCTCCTTTCAACGGTTCTGAAGTATGGGCCCTTGGGTTGTTTTAAGGGCCGAGGGTTGAGGGTCCAGCTACCCCAAGACAAGACGGCCCTGACCAGGTCGGCAGCGTTTGCAGCTACCTCCAGGCCAAGTGTACGTTTTTTCAGGGACCCTAAAGCCCTAAACCCTAAACCCCAAAGCCCTAAACCCTAAACCCCAAAGCCCTAATTAAGCCCTAAACCCTAAGCCCCAAACCCTAAACCCTTGGTTATTCGGGCTCTTTAGGGCGGAGGTGTTGAGGGCTTAGGGCTTGCGGATGCTGAGGGATGATGGGGCTTTGGGCTTTTTACCAGCTACCTTGAACCTCTGCGCCCTTTTAGACTTTGAAAGGCCTTGGAGCGAATTTCAGCCTTAAGAGACAAATCTTGAAGCCTCTCTTGGGAGATGCCCAAGTGAAGCCTTTCTGCCTCAGAGTGATCTGAGCAAGGCCTTCCGCTCATGCCGGCCCTTCTACAGCCTTGCCCAGCATGCCGCTAAGCGCGCGAGCAAGCATCCGCCTTCGCCTGTGGCGCGAAACGCGCGTGTGGAAAGCTTCCGGAGAGGAGCTGCCTCACCATGAAGAGCCTATGTGGGTCGGAGCACTGGCCCATAGCAGAAAATCAGCGTCTTCCATCACCAAGTGTTGCAGCCCGAGGCTCTATAAACCCTAAAACCCCTCAACCCTGAAGCCCCTGTAACTTGAAATTAGTCGAAAGTCCCAAAACGAAACTTTCCTCGAAACTCCTCGAACACCTGAATAATTTCAATACACCCCAAACCCCTAGCCCTAAACCCTAAACCCCGGAACCCTAAACCCTAAACCCTAAACCCTAAGCCCCGAAACCCCTTAAGGAGGAGACCAGGGGTTTCTGCTTTTTGTATTCAGGGGGGTGTCGTCGCGACTCCGGGGCTTTCTGCATGTCGGGGTCACAAAGTTGCTTTCTGAGGTTTAGGGTTTGAAGGGGTTTATGGTTTTAGGGTTTCGGGGGTTTAGGGTTTTAAGGTTTTGGGGGTTTAGGGGTTTTAGGGTTTTAGGGTTTAGGGTTTTGGGGTTTGGGATTTAAACGGTTTAGGGTGTTGGGGATCTTGTTTTTGGGTTTAGGGTTTTGGGTTCAGGCTTTAGGGTTTCTGGTGTCGGGCTGGTGTACCCCAAAAAAATGAACATGTAGAGGGCTTTCGGGGTTGAGGGTTTAGGAATTGGGTTTAGGGCTTAGGGTTAGGGCTTAGGGCTTAGGGCTAAGGGTTTAGGGTTTAGGGTTTGGGGTTTGGGGTTTGGGGTTTGGGGTTTAAACCTCAAGCGCCTCGCTTGTCTGCTCCATTCCCCTTCATTTGCTGGCAGACGGCGGTGTCCATCATCCAAGGAGGCACCTTGCTGGGTGTAGGGTTTAGGGTTTAGGGTTTAGGGTGTAGGGTTTAGGGTTTAGGGTTTAGGGTTTAGGGTTTAGGGTTTAGGGTTTAGGGTTCAGGTAGGGTTTAGGGTTTAGGGTTTAGGGTTTAGGGTTTAGGGTTTAGGGTTTAGGGTTTAGGGTTTAGGGTTTAGGGTTTAGGGTTTAGGGTTTAGGGTTTAGGGGCAAGGTTCGCGCACAGCTCCATCTATTCGTATGCGGCAGCTTCCTTGAATGACGGTCCGTTGTCAGATCCCGTGAAGATAGGAGGCCATGTTATCACACGCACCCAAAGAGACACCGTCCTTTGTAGGGTGTGGGGCTTAGGGCCGTTTGGGGACCTAGACCTGGCCATGTACCTACCTGGGTGGAGGGGTTGTCTGGGGTTTAGGGTTTAGGGTTTAGGGTTTAGGGTTTAGGTTTAGGGTTTAGGGTTTAGGGTTTTTTTGGGCCAGACATCTCAAGTTCTGAACCTGATGAAGTTGCCTTTGGGCCTTCAGAGTGGGATCGCTTCAGTTTGCAGAGGTAAGTTGGGATGTTCCCCCTTACACGAACAGTCCTTGACACGGAAACATAGGGCGTACAATAATCCCTAGCAAGAACTGTCATAGGGTTTAGGGTTTAGGGTTTAGGGTTTAGGGTTTAGGGTTTAGGGTTTAGGGTTTAGGGTTTAGGGTGCTAGAATGAGGGGGCCCAAGAGGCAAGTTTCGAGTTCCTTGTTGGGGTTCAAGTGTGCAGGAAACTTCAGGCGGCGCCTTCGGCTTGGTTGTTCTCCATTTAGGGTTAGGGTTTAGGGTTTAGGGTTTAGGGTTTAGAGGGTTTAGGGTTTAGGGTTTAGGGTTTAGGGTTTAGGGTTTAGGGTTTAGGGTTTAGGGTTTAGGGTTTGGGGTTTAGGGTTTAGGGTTTGGGGTTTAGGGCAGGTAAGTTCCCTAAACCCTAAATTCCGAACTGCACAGGGCTTTAGGCCCGAAGCCTCGACCTGACCAAGCTTCCAACCCTTGCAAGACGGCGTAAAGGTCTGAGGTGTGGTAAACTGGGGGAGGACCTGGCCCAAATAAATGTTAAGGTACTTTTATCCGACCCCAAAAGGCAAAGTGAGCCCTAAGCCCTGAGCTATAATCTGAAACCCCTGAACCCTAACTTAGCCCCATTAAAAGGGAAAGGGGTACTTTAGACTTTAACCGGTTTAGGTTCTTGGGCTTAGGATGTTTTCACTTGTAGGATTTAGGCATAAACACACTCGGCCCTATACGTAAACCCTATTCAATAAGCGGGGTCCTTAGGGGTTCTAGTTTACCCTAAACCCAAAACCCTAAACCCTAGCTACTAGGTCCCTGGAGGGATGGGTAAGCCGTGGGCGCAGGAGAGAGCCGATTATCCAAGGACAAGTCGGAGTGCGCTTATCATGAGGGTTTTTGCCTTGGACCCCTAAGGTGGTAGGGTTGAGGGTTTAGGGTTTCGGGTTTCGGGTTTAGGGTTTAGGGTTTAGGGTTTAGGGTTTAGGGTTTATTTAGGGTTTAGGGTTTATTTAGGGTTTAGGGTTTAATTAGGGTTTAGGGTTTAGGGTTTAGGGTCTCGAAAAGAATATAAGGGCCACACAACCTTAGGGCTACGAGTCTTAATCCCTTGAGCTTGACTCCCAGGGTGTTGGGGTGTCGAGCTTCAGGACAAAGGTGCTTCAGGGTTTCGGGGTTTTGCGGTGTAGGGTTTCGGGTTTAGGGTTTAGGGTTTGGGTTTAGGGGTGTAGGGTTCCGGAATTCGGGTTTTGGGCTTTCAGGATTTCGGTTTTTTTCTTGTTTTAGGGTGTAAAGTTTGGGAGACGCGGTGTTCGGGAGGGAGGGGGTACATCCTAAGCCTAGCTAGCCCCCAAGTCACCCCGAGCCATAAGATCCCTAAGCCCCAAACCCTAAGCCTGAAACTTTAACCTCTAAGCCAGGTCCCGAGTCCTGAACCCCAGGCCCTAAGCCCTCAGCCCCAAGCCTGACACCTCAACCTCCAAGCCAGGCATTGAGGTTCCCTCTTTAATCACCTCAATGAGGCTTAACTATCCTAAAGAGCCTTAATGATGATGGGGGGTAGATGGGTGGGGGGGGGGGGTCGTGAAGGGGAACCCGTGAGAACCTCCAAGCCAGGCCCTGTGAGCTCTGCCAGGTACGCCAAGACCGGCGAGGATCTGAAGCGGCAAAAGGTTGTCTGACCGAAAAACAATGCATCAGAGAGGGGCATCTTTGTGGCAGCTTGGGGTTTAAAGGCTTCGGGTTTTTGTCAGGTTTAGGGTTTACTGGTTCGGGGGTTTTAGGGTTTTGAGGTTTTGGGTTTTAGGGTTTTAGGGTTTTTGTTGCGGTTTTGGGGTTTCGGGGTTTTGTTTTAGCAAGTGGAGGGCTGCAAGGGTTGAGGCTCAGTGCGGTGTCTTTCTCTAGCCAGTAGAGCGAACTCCGAAAATGCACAGCCCGCTGGGGAAAGTCTTCATACCCCAAGCCGATTCCCGAAAACTGCGATTCTTCAGATCCCTTCAGCACCTTCGCGGGCGCCAGCGCTTTTTGAGCTGTGGCTGGAGAGTTCTGGGGCGAGGCTTATGGGTTTCTAGTGTTCATAGGCAGGGTTTATCGGGTCCTTAGGGCTTATGGGGGGGTTTATAGGATTTAGGGCAGCGTTTGAATGGGTAGTCCCTGAGAAGCCCTTCTATCAAGTGCCCAGGCCGAAAGGATCCACCCATATGGCATAAACTTGAGCCTCAAAGGGGCTCCTAGAACGTAGCTTTATGGCCCAAGCATCCTAAACCCTAAACCCTAAACCCTAAACCCTAAACCCTAAACCCTAAAACCCTAAACCCTAAACCCTAAAACCCTAAACCCTAAACCCTAAGCCCTAAGCCCTAAGCCCTAAACCCTAAACCCTAACCCTACGCATCGGTACATGGATCCTTAGGGCAGGTCTGTGACGCAAAGTTGAGGCTCCAGCCGTCAGATTCAGGTGCGGGGCATGCTATGACCCACCCAAGACGGGTTTAGGGTTTAGGGTTTAGGGTTTGGGGTTTAGGGTTTAGGGTTTAGGGTTTAGGGTTTTAGGGTTTTTAAGATGCCTGCCGGCCCCAAACCCCGACCCGAAGAGGGTTTGGGTTTAGGATTTAGGGGTTCGGGCAAATTGTCGTGTTTTTATTTTTTTTTTTTTTGGGGGGGGGGGGGGGGGGGTGTATGTGAGGGGGCACCTTTTTTTTGGAAAGACTCTAAATCCCTAGCCCCTGAACCCTAAACCTTGAATTCCCTCCCCCCAACCCACACAAGTCTTGCTTCCCCCCGAACCCTAAACCCTAAACCCTAAACCCTAAACCCTAAACCCTAAACCCTAAACCCTAAACCCTAAACCCTAAACCCACACAAGTCTTGCTTCAATGGCACCTTCCAGCTCTACTCAAGCTGCCTGGCCACATGGCAGAGGCCGAGGCGACAGCCCAAGCTTCACCCTAGCCTCTAAACCCTAGCCCTAAACCCTAAACCCCAAACCCCAAACCCCAAACCCCGAACCCCGAACCCCGAACCCCGAACCCCGAACCCCAAACCCTAAACCCCAAACCCCAAACCCTAAACCCAACCTCCAAGCCAAAAGCCTGGGTTTGGTTCGGGAAAAAGATTTGAAGTTATGTGGCCCGTCATCCCTTTTCAGCCCATGGCAAGTTTAAATGTCCAAAGTCGGGTTTAGGGTTTAGGGTATATCCAAAGAAGCCGGCAAACTGACCCGTGGACTTAAGAGACCCTCCAACACTGTAGCCGCTTGGTGACTGGCTGAGGGCTCTTTCAAAGCCCCAAAGCATGCTAAGCCCCAAAGCCTGTCACTCAAAGTGGGGGGTTGAAGGTGTGAGGTTGAGTGTTCCTACACACCCCAAACCCTACAAACCCTAAGCTCGATACACCCCCAGCTGCTCTTTGAACCTCCCTAAGGCTTGATTGTCCTGCAAATGCCCTCGAAGCGCCACAAGGCCCAGACCCTAAACCCCAAACCCGGAACCCTCACTCTGAACCCCAAACCCCAAACCCCAAGCCAAACGCCCCAAACCCCAAACCCCAAACCCCAAGCCAAACACCCCAAACCCTAAACTGCAAACCCCAAACCACAAAGCCCAAACCCCAAACCCTAACCCCTATGCCTATTCCCTATAAACTTCACACCCAAAGAGGCTGAGCCCCCCGACCTCAAGGCCGAGCCGGATGTCGTTGAGGTTTACAGCTTGAGTGGCGCAGCTGCACGCATGGATAGGGTTTAGGGTTTAGGGTTGAGGGTTGAGGGTTTAGTGTTTAGGGTTTAGGGTTTAGGCTTGAGGGTTTCGGGTATCGGGTTCCGGGTTTAGGGGTTAGGGTTTAGGGTTGAGGGGTTTGGGGTTTAGGGTGTAGGGTTTAGGGTTTGGGGGTTTAGGATATATGCTCTCGTAGGGATCATAGTAGAATATATGTGGTCCCCATTTTAGGGCCCTCTTGGTCCCCAAGGATTCCCTTCCCTAAAGCCTCGAAGCCGTAACCTATGGGCTGAGCTGTTTGGGGACCCTCAACCCTACACCCTACCTTCAAATTCAGCCCCCCCCCCCCCCCAGCTTTAGGGTTTAGGGTTTTAGGGTTTAGGGTATAGGGTGTTGGGTTTTGTGTTTTGGTTTTAGGGTTTGGGGTTTGGGGTTTGGGGTTTAGGACTTTCGGACTTTGGGGTTCAAGGGCTTCGGCAGAGCAAGGCCCTTGTCGGGGATCTTATAGTGGAGTAGATGTCTTGTGCACAAACGGACTCTGCGGCGCGGGTTTAGGGTTTAGGCTTTAGGGTTTAGGGTTTAGGGTTTCGGGTTTAGGGTGTAGGGTTTAGGGTTTAGTCTGATCATATGCACGTGCTTGGGGCAGCCCATGCCAAGGGGGGCAGCAAGTAAGGGCTTTTGGGGTTTAGAGGGTTTATGGTGTAGGGTTTCGGGGAGGGGGCTTGGTTCCTTGGCATGCTGAAAGAGATTAGGGCTCCTACTTGGAGGTTCATGGGTACTTAGAACCACACGTATAAGTCTACTTATAGCCTACTTAGGGGACTTAGGGGGCTTGTAGGGTTTGGGGTTTGCGGCTTCGAGGCGTTAGGGAAGGGAATCCTGGGGGACCAAGAGGAGCCACATACTTTTTATCCTACTAAAATCCATACGAGGGCATAGGTCCTAAACCCCTATAAACCCTACACCCCCAAACCCCTCCACCCTCAACCCCAAACCCTCAACCCTAAACCCTAAACTCTAAATCCTAAACCCTCCCTAAACCCGAAACCCTAAGCCCTAAACTCTTTCCTTAAAGTCGGCCCCATTCAGGTGGGCAAGTGCTGGCGCGGCTTCCGCGGGCGTCCGAGACTTCATGGGAGAGTCTGGAGGAGGCGCCTGGAGCGCACCCTTTAGGCTTTAGGGTTTGGGGTTTAGGATTTGGGGTTTGGGGTTTAGGGTTCAGGGTTTGGGGTTTGGGGCTTGGGGCTTGGGGTTTAGAGTTCGGGGCTTAGGGTTTGGGATTTTGGGGTGTAGGATTTAGGGTTTATGTGGGTTTTTTGCACCCGAAAACCTTGTAGAATGCAGGGCCCAGTCGTCAGAGCCCTTGAGACAAGGTAAGCATTTAAGGTTTAGGGTGCATGTGGTGAGGTGAATGTCGGTTGAGGGTATATCTTGTACCCACGAGGTATACCTTGTGTGTTCTAGAAGGTTCCGCTACATTGCCACCATTGCGTTGCTCCTAAGCTTTCCCTACACCCCTGAACCGCAACCCCAAAACCCAAACCCTAAACCCGAAACCCTAAACCCTAAAACCTACGTACCCTAGACCCTAAACCCTGCCCTGAAACCTGAATCCCAAAGCTGTCCCCTCAGGCGTTGAATGGCCAGGCGGAGGCAGGGCCCGCGTTCATAAGCTCTTAATTCGCAAAGCGTGACCCTCAAGGTGCGCACAGTTTAGGGATTGGGGGTTAGGGTTTAGGGTTTAGGGTTTAGGGCTTAAGGCTTAGGGTTTAGGGGGCAGGGTTTAGGGTTGAGGGGTTAGGGTTTAGGGTTTAGGGTTTAGGGTTTAGGGTTTAGGGTTTAGGCCCTACATGCATGCACACGTGTACGTATTCTGTTTCGCGCATCGTGTGCTTCTATAGGGACAAAGCCCTTACCGCAATGTCGCCTTGGAGGCTAAGGGGATAGGACTTGGACAGCTTCGCAAGGCCATAAAACTCTGGTCTTGACACTGAACCAACCCTAAACCCTGAAAACCCTGAAAACCCTGAAAACCCTGAAAACCCTGAACCTGCAACCCTCAACCTTGTACGGGCTTCAAACCCCACAGACCCCAGGATCCAGATCGGAACCCCTATTCCCTTTCTGTTTTGCCTAGAGGGGGGGGTCGAGGGTTCAGGGTTTCGGGTGGCTTGTTCCCTTCCAGGCCCTAAAGCCCAAACCCCAAACCCTAAACCCTAGACCCTAAACCCTAAAACCCCCAAAACCCCAAAACCCCTAAACCCTGGCCCCCTTGAAGTAATGCAACAAAAATGGAGCCCACACCTCTCTCTGACTGTTGGGTTCCTCCGGGAGCTCCTCGGCAGTTGAAATCTGCTCACCACGTGTGAAGTAGGGTTTATATTGCTGTTATTGGTGAGTGTATATCAGATTCCTTTTTAAAATTTGTGAGTGTATGTAAGGTTCCTTTTAAATTGGTGAGTGTATATAAGGTTCCTTTTTAAAATTGGTGAGTGTATATAAGGTTCCTTGTTAATAATTGGTGAGTGTCTACATTATTCGGTGTCCTTTTGGGGATACAAGAAATAAAAAAGACCCTACATGAGGTCCAGTCCAAGGTCCTCCAGAGTGGAGCGGGTTTAGAGTTTGGGGTTTGGGGCTTAGGGTGTAGGGTTTCGGGTTTAGGGTTTAGGGTTTGGGGTTTGGGGTTTGGGGTTTAAGGTGTAGGGTTTAGGGTTTCGTGTTCAGGGTTCATAGGGCGTAGGGTTTAGTGTTCAGGGCTTAGAGGGTTCAGGATTGAGGAACAAATTGTCGGGAGCGAGGGATAGAAGACGAGAAGAGGGAGAAGGCAGAGAACAGGTCGCACAGTCCACAGGGTTTAGGGTTTAGGGTTTAGGGCTTAGGGTTTAGGGTGTAGGGTTTAGGGTGTGGGGCTTACAACCTTCGCTTCAGGACGAGGACCTGGCAACCGCCTGGCGCATAGCGCCGCACGGCTTCGAGAGAAGTTCGGGGGAGCTGGGGGCTCCCGGAGGCCTTCAGGGACCCCTAAGTCTTAAACCCTAAACCCTAAACCCTAAGTCCTAAACCCTAAACCCTAAACCCTAAACCCTAAACCCTAAACCCTAAACCCTAAATCCTAAACCCTAAACCCTAAACCCTAAACCTGAACCCAGGTTTAGGGTGTAATTTTTACGCTACGCGACCCGCCTCGGCCCGGCCCAGCGCATCCGCGTGAGCATGGTGATTCCGCAGCGCCCAAGTCGCTGGACCCCAAGCAATAAGGGTTGGGTTTAGGGTTTAGGGTTCCGGGTTTATGGTTTATGGTTTGGGGTCTAGGGTTGAGGGTTAGTTTAGGATTGAGGGCTTAGGGCTCAAGGTTCACGCTTTGGGGTTTAGGGTTTTTTTGGGGTTTAGGGTTCAAGGTTCAAGCTTCTCTGGTGCTGGCGAACCGTCCGCTTGCGGACCCCGGCTTCCTAGGGGGGGGTACCCATTTGAGGCAAAAAGGATTTGGAGGGGGAGCTTGGGGCTCGGAGGCCTTCAGGGACCCTAAGTCTTAAACCCTAAACCCTAAACCCTAAACCCTAAACCCTAAACCCTAAACCCTAAACCCTAAACCCTAAACCCTAAACCCTAAACCCTAAACCCAGGTTTAGGGTGTAATTAGAGCTTCGGGATGATGGCTTCAAGCCTCATGCAAAGAAGGGCACCTTAACTGTCTCTTGGCTTCAGGATAAACCCCGTCACATTGCCTACTTGGAGCTTCATGGGTACTTATGACCACACTTACAAGTCTACTTATAACCTACTTAGGGAAGGTTCATGGGTACTTATAAGTCTACTTCTAACCTACTTAGGGGACTTATAGGGGCCTTATAAGTACAGTCATAATTAGGGTTGTAAGTACCCGGAACCTCCAAGTAGAGCCCTTCTTCCCCATCACAAGACCCGGAACCCCAGATAGACCAGGGACGCAGGTCCCGGACCCGAACTTCTGGACCCTAAACCCCAAACCCCAAACCCTGAACCCTAAACCCTAAGCCCCCGGAACCCTGAACCCTAAACCCTAAACCCTAAACCCCCTGAACACTGAACCCTACAAGCCCACTCGCCCCACGAGCGCAAGCGCAAGGCAGACAGGGACTCTGGAGCAAGGACCGCTTTTCGCCACGCGAGAGCCGCTGCTCCCGCTGCAGGTTGCGGTGGGGGGAGGGCCCGCATGGGGTCAGGCAAGGTATAGGGTTTAGGGTTTAGGGTTTAGGGTTTAGGGTTTAGGGTTTAGGGTCTAGGGTTTAGGGTTTAGGGTTTAGGGTTTAGGGTTTAGGGTTTAGGGTTTAGGGCTTCATACGGTTTAGGATTCAGGGCTTTAGGGCTTTTGAGGGGATGGAGATACTGAATGCGCCGGCAACTGAAAGAAGGCCCCGCACCCTGAACCCTTACGCTTTGGGGAATTGGTTTTAGTGTTAGACCCTAGACCACAGGACATGCTCACATGCTTAGGGCCTTTAGGGTTTAGGGATCCCGCGCTTCCCCAACATAAAAATCTTTCCGGGCAGCTGCCCTGCATGGATCTCACCGTGTTTTTGGGTGCAACATTTGGAACAGACCAAGTATATGCTTTACTGTTACCGAACCCTGCTTACGATGAGAGTGGGGCATTCTAAACCCTAAACCCTAACCCTGAACCCTAAAACCTCATCCCTAAACCCTAAACCCTCATCCCTATACCCTAAACCCTCATCCCGATTATGAACCCTAAGCTCTGCCCCAAACCACAGAGCCTAGATTTGCTTGGCATCTCTGTCACCCTGCCCCAATGGGTTTAGGGTTCAGGGTTTAGGGTTACCCTAAACCACCTGAGCCCGAAACCCTGAACCCCAAGCCCTAAGCCCCCTAAAACCCAACAACAACCCAAAAACCCTAAACCCTAGTCCCCAATTCCTGAACCCCAAACATGCTGCCCTGAATTTCAAGATTTCCAAGCTTGCAGTACCTCAGATCCCGAAGTCTCGACTCTTCAGGGTTACCCGAAGCCCTAAACCCTAAACCCCAAACCCCAAACCCTAAACCCTAAACCCTAAACCCTAAGCCCTAAACCCTAAACCCTAAACCCTAAACCCTAAACCCTAACCCCTAAACCCCTAAACCCCTAAACCCTACACCCGAACTCTCGGCACTTCAGAGTTGGGAGGAGCATGAGCTCGATGGCGAAACCTACGCGCTTCCCCTCGTCTACTCTGAGGCTGGCACCTGAGATGGGTTCAGGCTTTAGGGTTTAGGGTTTAGGGTTTAGGGTTTGGGGTTTGGGGCAGGGTGGGATCTCGGATGTCGTGGCCCTAAACCCTATACAAGCCTTACACCTCAGAAAGATCCTGGTGTGGGACTTTTGGTCTAGAACCCTAAAAGCATTAAAACCCCAAGCCTCAAACCCCTACAACCCCAACTAAATCTATATAACCCCAAAACCCTAAACCCTAAATCTCTATAACCCTGACACCCTAAAGCCCTGCAACCCTAAACCCTCAATGGGACTCTACCTTGCACCCCTAAGGTTGTACGCTTGGGTTCGGGGACCCTTTTCAAGGTCCTCGAAGGGAATACTAGGACCACTGTCGACCGCAAGCTCTACTGTGGAGCCTACAGGGGTTTCTAGGACCCGGAGGAGGCCCTGATTTCCTTTTTGTACGGTTGGGGTTGCCTCATACTCACCTGAAAACCAAAAAGGGTACCCATTTTATTCCTGGGTTACTCCTGGGTCTAGGTGCCTAGGATCTCTGGATGTTGAATCGCCCCACTAGATTCAATGCACTGCTAGGATCTGTTGGACGTGCAGCACTTAGCCACATACTTGAGCAAATTTATTCCCAAGTAGGGGCAGGCACCCCGAAAGTACCCCCAACATGCTAGAACCCTTAGTATAGGTACCCCCACAAGGGCACCACAGCCCCCCCCCCCCCCCCCCCCCCCGGCCTTTTTGGAAACTCAACCCCAAACCTAAACCCGAAACCCGTTCGGGTCGAGGGTAACGTTGAACTTCCGAGGTGGGTAAGATGTCCCAATTCGCAAGCTGCTACAGCTGTGCAGCCGAGGACAGGTTCGACTCTGACTGTGTTGAGGGTATGGTTTAGGGCTCAGGGTTGAGGGTTTAGGTGTTGAGGGTTTGGTGCACCTTACCCTTGTGACATGTTGTATCTTCCGTTTTGGGTTTAAGAGGATCATGTTCAGAATATTTTTCACCGGGGTTTAAGGGCCAAAATAGCTTAAGAACCACATGAACCCTACAGGGTTTATGGTTCATATACCTTAATAGGAATTATAGCAGTGTAGGGTAGTATGTGGCCCTAAAACGGGTTTATGGTTTACATGCCTTGCTAGGAATGATAGTAGTGTAGGGTTATGACCACAATTTTGGTGTTCATTGGTCCCCAAGAGACAGGCTCGACTCTGGGCGTAGCAGTGTTGAGGGTTTGGTAAAACCTCAAGGGCCACATGAACCTGAAAGGGTTTGTGGTCCCGAACTTAGGGTTCATTTTTGGTCCCCAAGGCAAGTCACAAGCCCTTCTGGGGATCGGGCTGCAGGGCTTCGAGTTCGAAGCCAGCTCAGAAAACACCCCTGCACTTGACACCTTTGAGGCTCTCATCTTACAACCTCCCACATGCCACATGCTACTCACACCCAAGATTTGTTCAGCACCTCAATCCCCTGCCTAAGCCCTAAGTCCTAAGCCCGTTCAGACCTGAGAATCTGCACCCCAAGCCCTAAACCCCCAAATGGCCTGATGCCTCGAGACCCATAGACCTCCATGAGCCAAAAAAGTCATGGAGCCTACAACCCGAAACCCCGTAAACCCTGAAAGCCTTATACACTTACACAGCCCATATACGTTGGATTCTACAGGTCTATAGACTCTGATACCCTAGAGCAGCCCCGTAAAGCTTTTTGAGGAAGACGGCACATCCTCGCGACGCGTGATCTTCCGCCGCGTGACAGCGCCAGCAGCTTGTCAGTCACTGCACTACCTTCCTCCTGGTAGTAGAGTATAGGACTCCCCATTCATATAGCGGCCTACTTAGTCAGAATTGATATTCTCAGGTTTTCATGTCGACTTGACTTGGCAAGGCCCCTGTTAGTTCTTCCCAATTCCGAAAGCGAATCCTCGCGGAAAGCACATCTCCTATTCTTTGTCGTGGTTCGATTTTTTCTCTGCTCTACAATTGGCTTTCAAGCTGCCGGCGGGTTGATTGTTCCAGAGGCCAGAGTAGTGGGATCGCAAAACACCGGTTCTTCTTACAAGCCAGCAAGCATCAACTCCACAACCTCATACCTTAATTTGAAGCCCTAAGCCCTGAGTCGCAAAGTCCTCCCAAAGCCCTAACACCCTAAGCCCTCGACTTCAATCCCCTGAACCTTAAAACCCTGAACCCTGAACCCTAAACCCTAAACCCCAAACCCTAAACCCTAAACCCTAAACCCTAAACCCCAAACCCTAAACCCTAAACCCTAAACCCTCAACACCCCACCACTGCGGCTCCAAGGACCTTCGGGCTGCCGAGCGATTGCACCTAGGAAGCACAGCGTTTTAGGGTTTAGGGTTTAGGGTTTAGGGTTTAGGGTTTAGGGCTTAGGGCTTAGGGCTTAGGGTTTAGGGTTTAGGGTTTAAGGTTCAGGATCCAAGTTTTGGGGTTTAGGGTTTAGGGTTTAGGGTTCAGGGGTCTAGGGCCTAGGGTCGATGCCTTTGGGGCTTTTAGATGTTCAGGGGTTTAGGGTTTAGGGGTTTTCGGGGGGTATTAGGTGTTCATGGAGCCTGTGTTGTAGGGTTTGAGTACCTTTTTTTAACAAGGCTTTTGGGCTTCAAGGTGGGGATTTTGAGCCTGGGTTTGCTAGAGCTCTAGGATATTTTTGTTGAATGGTTGTGGGGGGGGCTTTTCGGTTTGGGGGCAAAGTATCGAGGTTGAGAGCCCTGGTTTGTATAGGGTTTAAGGTTTACAGGTGTGGGATTTGGGACAATTTGCGGGGTTCTAGGAAGCACCAGTGCCACGTTGCTTCTGAGTTGGGATGTTCCCCCTTATACTAACAGTCCTTTATAGGGATTTCAGTGCCCCCGATGATAGTCCCGTTTAAGGACCCGTTAGTATAAGAGGGAATCTCCCAGTTCATGAGGGTTTCGGGCTTGGGATGCCCTTGTCGTAAGGCTTTCGGGGTTCTGGGTTCCTTCATAGAGCGCACGCCGTTAGAAAAAAGGAAAAGCAAAAAGTACGGTTTCTCTCTGGGCTCTCTACCAGACATTTGTCCGGTATAGTCCCTGAACAAAGTGCGCCCTGTCTGGGGTGAGGCTACTCAGAATCCCTATAAACCCAAAGGCTATATAGACCCTAAACAGCCCTAAACCCCCTAAACCCTACAAGCCCTAGACCTCTTCAGGCGACCCCAAACCCTAAACCTAGAATCTTTGTCATAGTTGGGTAACATTTTACATGTTTAAGGGTACTTAAACCGAATAAAGAATAAACAAAAAAAACAATTGTTCCAATATTATCCCAACCATGAACTAGGAAGCCTTCTAGGTACAACGAGTTCATCTTCCTCTCGTCCTGGCGCAACGAGAACTTCGTCAGCGTTCAGGCATGAGAGATTATGAGGTTGAGCTGATTGGGGTTTAGGGTTTAGGGTTTCCCTTCGCGCAGATCCTGTCAGTGCTGCTGCTCCCCTAAACCCTAAACCCTCAACCCTAAACCCTAAACCCTCAACCCTAAACCCTCAACCCTAAAACCTAAACCCTAAACCCTAAACCCTGCGCATCTCCATGTCGTGCAGATGTTTCGCGCAGGACCTCTTCGTGGCACGCGGCGGTGGCCATGGCGACTGGCCTCGTGGTAGAAGTTGCCTTGATAGGGTTTAGGGTTTAGCGTTTAGGGTTTAGGGTTTAACTTTGTAGATCCCTAAACGCTAAACCCCAGAAGGGGTTTAGGGTTTAACTTTGTAGATCCCTAAACCCTAAAGCCCAGAAGGTTGGGGGGGGGGGGGGGGGAGTTGCGCTTTTTCCCCCAATCCAAAACCCAGACCCTTTTGTCATTTTTGTGTGTTCGGGATTTCGCCATATTTCGCCATGTTTGAGGTACCTAACTGGTCATCTAACTAAGTTCACGGTTAGATGGTTAATATAGTAGATCCGAACAGCTTCCTAAGCCATCTGTGTATAGCTATGCATAAGCGTGAAGTTGCCCAGGTTGATCCGCTCGAAGCCATCGACCCGCAACTCTAAACAGCTGAGGTATTGCATCTTCGACTTCATGCAGACGCCTTGCACAACTCAGCTGCTGCGCTGTCTGTTTCCTTTCGTTTTGTTTGGGGCTTCATATTTCTCTTGTGAAAGCGCACTTGTGCTTCACCCCTGTAGCTCAAGAAAGCTACTCTTTCTTGTTTCTGGCTGCCGGGACGTGAACAGGGTTGTTCCAGGATTAGGGTTTAGGGTTTAGGGTTTAGGGTTTAGGGTTTAGGGTTTAGGGTTTAAACCCAGAAAAGCACTGCCCAGGGCGTCCATGGCCTCGGTTCTTCGTGCGCGGATGCGCCTCACAGCGGAACACGCCGATGTCTTGGAAAGGGGGGGCAATAGGGACCAAGGGTTTGGGGTTTAGGGTGTAGGGTTTAGGGTTTAGGGTTTAGGGTT